CAAAGTTACCATATATATATATATATATATATATATATATATATATATATATATAGATATATATAGATATATATGCTGAAATGTTTCATAAATATCTAGGTTGATCACGCACACTGTTTAAAAAGGACAGTGATATTTTTCCTTGTTGGGTTACTTTTATTTCTTTGATCGACTATTACACATCAAGACTACTGTCTTTCTTTTGACTGATTTTATTCCAGTCAACGTAATCGTTTTTCGAAATAATTTTTTACCAGCAACTGTGAGCACATCGGTCACTTGTGTATTTGCTTGCACTTACGATTCTTACAAGTCCAGGTTTTTAGATTCTCCTGTCATTAGTTTCTTCAGTCTTTGGGTATTGTTTGTGAACAGTTTTTTTGAAAACCTCTGATTGATTAGTTGACAGTACATGAAAACTATTACCAGCGCCCTGGCTGTCAAAACCCTGCAAAAAGTGGCATGCGCTTCAGTGTGCAAAGTATGGTGTACAAATCTAATGCCTGTGGCTGTAGTAGGACTGCAGAATGGATATAAAGTAAGTCAAGAGATTTTGTCCCTAAAGACTTACCAATAGCAAACTGTAAAGAAGGTAGCGAAGCTGAAGAACTAAAATTAAGATTAAAAATTGAGGAAAAGGATATCAAAATTTTAAACTTTAGAGCGGTGCAGCTTCAAAAGAGGATGGTGCAAAAGCCTTTTTGAGTGCAGCATTGATCCATTCATCTGATCTGTTACACGAAAGCCAAGAAGTTGTTCAACAAGCTATCCAAGCTAAGTGCACAGTTAGACTCTTACCTGAAGATTGTTACCGCCATCACAGAAACTTGATTGATAAAGTCTATAAATAGTACACAGCTTGAGTTCCAAAGTTTCGCATAAGTAAGAGCCGACAGAAACGTTTGTGGTATGTATGAATATTGTTTTAATCTAAGCTCTACGTTATACACCTTGTTGGAATACACTGTCACTACCAGTTTCATGGTACAAGCAAATTTGACAGATGAAGCTTCCGAATTTTGAGTTAAACATCCATTTACATAAAAAATAAGCTTAAATGAGCTTAGCACCATTAAAAGACGGAGAGTAGAGCTACTGACCAGCAAGCATTGATGGTGAGGGCGATTACTTCAATCCACCCATGTTTGTGTGGCAGAACATTTTGTTTGTATCAGGCGGTGCCGTTCACATACAAGATAAGCAACAGGGGTCCAGTGCATGAATCCTGAAGAGCACGCCTAGTAATGCTCCGAGGGTCGGACAAGTGTTGCCTTATTTTCATTACCTGAGACCGATCTCGTAATAGGGATACGATCCATTTATACATTTTGCCTGAAATGCTGAGAGTCGTTAACTAAAACGGGGGTGAGGAGTGTTGTTTTTTGTCAAACGCTTCAGTAAAGTTTAAGTAGAGAGTGACAACTAGTTTCCCCTTGTACCTATTGTTTACTAAATAATCGATGTATTCTAGGTGACAGACGATGCATGTCGCTTTGGATATAAATAGATGTTATGAAGATATAATAAGTTGCTGTTTGCTTATGTGATCGCCAGTCGATCTCTTAATCATCTCCACAGTTCTAGACAAGATGAAAGTGTGTTTAATCAGGCGACAAATATGTACCTCCAGCCTTAATCACTTTATCAAATAATAGATGTTGTATGTAATGTAGATCACTACCGTAGGTGATCTATGTCGAATGATCGGAGGCCTAACAGCGTTAGACCGAAAGGGTTTGACCAACAGCTAACATCAAAGTCACACCTGACGTGGCATAACGTTACTTCATATCAAGGTGCTATAGCTAATGCGAAGGCCGTATAACACAAAGGACGTCATTACAAAAAATATGTTAGTTAGAGTAAAGTAGCTCCTGTAGCTCCTCTGGGGGTTACTGCCGGTCCCAAGACCGGGTAAAGGAGGAGGGTTGGGCATGGGGTTAGCGACCCCATCCCGTAGAAAATCAACTCGCTAAAAAAATGCTAACCAGAAAAAATCATTCAAACCTTTCAAACTCTGCCCTGGGAGTAGAAGGAATAATTATGACGTCTCATGATGAAAGCCGAGTTCCTTCGGAAGTCATGAGACCGATGCACCTTCTTACAACCAGAGCAACAATTTTTATAGGTACATGGAATGTCCGAACTATGTGGGAGACCGGAAGAGTCTTCCAAATTTCTGAAATGAGGAAATAAAAGCTGAAGGTGCTTGGAATCAGTGAAACGCATTGGACGCAGGTTGGACAACAACGACTGTCTTCAGGAGAACTTCTGTTATACTCCGGTCATGAAGAAGAAAATGCCCCACATACACAAGGAGTTGCATTGATGCTGTCCAGAAAAGCACAAAATGCACTTATAGGATGGGAATCTCATGGACCAAGGATCATCAAAGCTTCCTTCAGAACAAGGAGAGAGGGCATTACAATGAACGTCATCCAATGCTATGCACCTACCAATGACTACGATGAAGACGCTAAAGACCAATTCTACGATAGGCTGCACTCGATGTTCGAGAAGTGCTCAACCGAGGACCTGACAACTCTGATGGGAGATATCAATGCCAAGGTTGGAATGGACAACACTGGATACGAAGACGTCATGGGACAAAATGGACTGGGAGAAAGGAACGAAAATGGTGAGAGACTTGCAAATCTATGTGCGTTCAACAAATTGGTTATAGGCGGCACAATATTCCCACACAAACGCATTCACAAAACCACCTGGACGTCACCGGATGACACTATGCAGAACCAAATCAACCATATCTGCATCAACAAAAAGTTCAGGAGGACGATGGAGGATGTGAGAACCAGAAGAGGAGCTGATATAGCATCCGATCATCATTTGCTGGTCGCCAAGATGAAACTAAAACTCAAGAAGCACTCGACAACGTTGCGGACAACATCACAAAAGTTTAATACGGCTTTTCTTCGAGATGCTGACAAATTCAACAAATTCAACATAGCCCTCAGCAACAGGTTCCAGGCCTTTCATGATCTACTCAATGGAGAGGGAATTACCATGGAGAGCAACTGGAAAAGTATCAAGGAGGCAATCGTTTCAACATGTCAAGAGGTTCTGGGCCAAAAGAAGCACCATCACAAGGAATGGATCACTGTTGGTACACTGGATAAAATTGAAGAAAGGAGGAACAAGAAGGCAGCAATCAATATCAGCCGAACCAGAGCGGAAAAAGCCAAGGCACAAGCCGAATACACAGAGGCGAACAAGCAAGTGAAGAGGAGCAATGACAGCGGAAAAGGCTGCAAGGGAGGGAAACATGAGACAACTGTATGATATAACAAAGAAACTTGCTGAAAATTACCGTAAACCAGAAAGACCAGTGAAAAGCAAGGAAGGCAAAGTAATCACCGACATTAAAGAACAACGAAACAGGTGGGTAGAACACTTCAAAGAACTCTTGAATCGACCAGCTCCACTGAACCCACCCAAAATCGAAGCAGCACCCACAGACCTCCCAATCGATGTTGGCCCACCAACAATTGAAGAGATCAGCATGGCCATTAGACAAATAAAGAGCGGCAAAGCAGTGGGACCAGACAACATCCCGGAAGAGGCACTGAAAGCAAATGTAACAGCAACTGCCAAGATACTCCACATCCTCTTCAGTAAGATTTGGGATGAAGAACAAGTACCAACAGACTGGAAAAAAGGACTTCTGATCAAAATACAAAAGAAAGGCGATCTGAGCAAGTGCGACAACTACAGGGGCATCACTCTCCTCTCAATACCAGGGAAAGTCTCCAACCGGGTATTGTTAAACAGGATGAAGGATTCCGTGGACGCCCAACTTCGAGATCAACAAGCTGGATTTCGTAAGGATAGATCGTGCACAGATCAAATCGCAACTCTGCGGATCATTGTGGAACAATCAATCGAATGGAATTCATCACTCTACATTAACTTCATCGACTATGAGAAGGCATTTGATAGCGTGGACAGGACGATACTATGGAAGCTTCTTCGACACTACGGCGTGCCTGAGAAGATAGTAAATATCATACGGAACAAAGGGAAAAGGAAGACTCTCCGATACAACACAATATGCACCAATCAAATTACACTTGATGGAGAAGCTCTGGAAGATGTGGAAACCTTTACATATCTGGGCAGTATCATTGATGAACACGGTGGATCAGATGCAGATATGAGGGCAAGGATCGGCAAAGCAAGAGCAGCATACTTACAACTGAAAAACATCTGGAGCTTAAAACAATTGTCAACCAACAGCAAGGTTAGAATTTTCAATACAAATATGAAGATAGTTCTACTGTATGGGGCGCAGACGTGGAGAACTACGAAAGCCATTATCCAGAAGATACAAGTGTTCATCAACAGCTGTCTACGGAAAATACTTCGGATCCGATGGCCAGACACTATCAGCAATAAGTTACTGTGGGAGAGAACAAACCAGATTCCAGCAGAGGAAGAAATCAGGAAGAAGCGCTGGAAGTGGATTGGGCACACCTTGAGGAAATCACCTAATTGCGTCACAAGACAAGCCCTCACATGGAATCCTGAAGGTCAAAGGAAAAGAGGAAGACCAAAGAACACATTACGCCGAGAAATAGAGACAGACATGAGAAGAATGAACAAGAACTGGATAGAACTAGAAAAGAAGGCTCAGGACAGAGTGGGTTGGAGAAAGCTGGTCGGTGGCCTATGCTCCATTGGGAGTAACAGGCGAAAGTAAAAGTAAGTAAATTATATGACATCAGTTGAATAACTTTAGGACTATTAAATACTGATTACCTTGTAGACCATATCAAAGTGATATGCATTAAATGCATCAAATCCAGTTATAGGTGATATCATGAATTTAACCGTTAATAGTAACTTTTATTAAAATAGTACAAGTTGCACTAGACTAAAACCATATAACATAGGGTACAGTGGGAAAAAGAAAACCAGACGAATAAAGATTTATTTAATATCAAAGAACAAACCATTATATATATAATTCATTTATTTATTTCTTAATAATGTGTAGTAGTAGTAGTAGTAGTAGTAGTAGTAGTAGTAGTAGTAGTAGTAGTAGTAGTAGTAGTAGTAGTAGTAGTAGTAGTAGTAGTAGTAGTAGTAGTAGAATTAAAGACACGTGTTTCATTCTTTATAAGACTCGTCCGCTGAGTATCAGTGCTGACATTCACTTTCACTCCTGTCATTTTAAACCTAGACGCATGAACCATTAGGTTAATGACCTGAAATACCCATCAACTCTTATGTTCCCAACGTTAAGACTCAGCTACATCAAGCTGATTTGTTGCAAAGCAGGACGTAACTAGAACCATGGATCCCACTGTTAACTTATCCAAAAGGTATAATGACTGCATTGATTTATTTCAATGATTATAGCATAAACGAATTTATCTTTAGAAGCTTCTTCAAAGACACATCCGTACACTTTGTGCTACAAGTCAAAAGTCAACAAACTATAGACTACTGATATCTAAAAATCAGTATACTGTGTACAATTTTCCGACGATTTATTGATCACCATTTAAACTATTGACCATGTTGAATGTCGATGTTTTGAAACTAAACCCATAGTTTTGTTTAGTATGTGCACGCTTGTTGATAGTAGTATGCACCAAACAACGGACAGAAGCTTAGAATATATATTAAAAGTTGATTTAGTTTGAAAATAATCCATTTAAAAACAGATCCGTAACATTTGTAGATTGTTGACCATATTCAAAAGAGCTCATTTTTATCCTGACATTGGGTAACCTCAATAAAAGTTTTACACTTTTGCTTAGCATCAATTGACTATTTTATCAATTACTGTGAACGAATACAAAGGTCTCATGAAAAGCTCTGATAAATTTGTTGGTGGCGTCAAGTCGCGATTGACTATGATCACCACTAAAGGAAGATTACGTGCCAGGTATCGAGTTAGATCCTTTGGTAGGCCAAAAATCAGAAGGCTGTTGATGGTTGCAATAAGATATATTTGTTGGCGATCTCTTGGTATTGAAAGAATACCGTGATGTGTCAAATTTTGCAAGCGGAACTACCGAGCGTACTCGATTTCGTGCAAGGTGACAGGCAAAGAAAGAAAGTGTGTCTTTGGTACACCTAAACAAACAAGTACAGTAAAACAATCACTGGTACAATTGGTTATCATAATATTTGTTTCCATTATACTAATAGCGTTCTCGTCATAAAAGTAGGTCACTACAAATTCATGTAAAATATTCTTTTCTATTAATATCGAATTGAATATAGCGCTTAGAAACTTTGACGTTACATAAGAAGCGAGATATGTCATAAGGAAGCCATGGAATTTAACATGTATGGGTGTAACCATAGATGCGCTATCGAGCAAATGATTGTCATGAATATCTACACGTAAGCACTCAAATCACAATGTATACATACAGTCCATAGGATTTTAAAAACTGTACAGCACAACACTGGCTTTTATTAAATGACCAAAAACTTTAAATATGTTAGTATTGCAATGCAACCAACCACAGCCTGAATAGTTTAGATTGTAGTCTGGTGAAACGGGTTTGAATTCTATATGAAGAGTATCAGTTCCTTTAGGATTACAGATAAACTCTAAGTTCTCAAGTCACAAATATCACTAAATCTATGTGCTAAGATTTCTGGCGACTCAATTCTAGTTTTTTATACCAAAAATCTAGTTAGATAATTTTTATAGAAATTTTTACGGCGGTCGAACTATATACACATTTATAGAACTCTCCCATAAATCACAACACAATACATTTCATAAGATAATAAAACTTGCTAATTAGCTGAATACAGTGTGATGAAACAAATTTAAAGTGGAAAGTCGAATCAGGAAAAAATGGTTAGACGCACAGCTACTGTAGTGTGGGCTACTGATGTCGATAGATATAAGTAGTATGTATCATTAATCGAAAGTAAAATGTCGATAATGCAATGAGAAGACGAAGATTATCAGAACTATGTGATATATTAGCGCAATACATTTCGAACAATCTGATCACACATATACTTGTTAAGAACATTTATATATAAAAATAAAAGGTCAACTAGACAGGAAATAGGGGTAAGAATAGACAAGGATAATAATGATAAAATAATGTGAAAACAATTTGACACCTAATCACTCTGGTTAATAAGCATATATTACCAGGGTAGGTTTAAAGAGAGAACAAACTGTTTTTGAATACACAAAGGGGGGTTGAATTTTCGTATGGCTAAGGCTTCAACAAACCTTAGTATACGCCCTTTTACACTTTTAAACAACACCACAAAAGCCGAGTTTAGATCAATCTTATGACCTGTTTCGATTATATGTTCTTTGTCGACTCATGAACTCATCACTAAAATTTGAGGCTTGTATTAACTTTAAAGCTGTTACACTTTCATCACAGATTGCACTGGATGTTATTTCTAAACAGTGATTTGCTGGATTGGTGGGAAAATAAATTTATCTGCCTGATAATTCAGAAACTTCTTCTTTAGTTACATTATTAATTGTACTAATGAGTTGTGAGTAAGATTCCTTAAGTGATTTTCGGGACGAATTTCATTTCAATATATTCTGATGAGTTATAAGTGAGATATAATAAAGTGATTTTCATTGAAGTGAACAATTATCAATAATTCGATTGAAGTAAATGATTTAAAAAAAACTTATTTGGTAACACCTTTTCCATTTGAAGCTAAACGGTTGTTGGATGTCATCAAAACAACATTGAATTAAACGGTATACGTACATACATTTCCTAGTGAACGGGACATATTAATGTTGTTGGGCAAACAGCTAATGAAAACCAAGAGACACTAGACAGCTGTTTCATTTAAAAGCAGTAGCTACCCATGACCGCGCCACTGGGGATAGAACTCAGGACTATTAGATTCCTGCCCAGTAGTTAAGAGATTAAATGCTCAGGCACCAGAATTAACGTTCTCAATTCGGTCCATGGTGGCAAGATCATAGATACGCACTGCTGTGGAGCTACGTACTAAGAATTAAACAGTTGTCCAGTGCTTCCTAGTTTTCAAAGCTTGTTTAACTGAGATCATTACATGTTCTTATTCATGAAATTGGAAAAATCCCCATAAACTCCTATTGTAACATACAAATGCTCTATTGTGTTGTTTTGCATTTCGTGATCCATATTTTGAACTTTTTCTCGTTTAGACCTCACCATACCGGTCAAAGGTCTATAAAATTCATCTAGTTGATCAACTATCTTGCCACTCTCCTGTTGAAGATGAAATGCAATGTAGCAGCTTTCAGCAATGGTTCCATAAAATTTATACTAATTTGTCACCGATAGCATCCAAACATTGCTGCAAACCGGTCTCTCCCTAGTCAAATAAAGAATACTCGTTAAAAAGGTGGTTTTCCTTGATGAAGTTGCAGGACTTCTCAATCTAATAAAGTTGTCAAGTAATGACACTCCTTCGGTAATTATGAGGCCAAACGAGGACGTGAATATGAATTTGAGTACCAGTACTGTTGACTCAATCCCTACCTTGAACCAAAACCCTGAGATTTCGACCGTCAATACGCTCGAAGAGGGAAAACCCTCAGTCCAGTCTATAGTAACGCTTAATCAAGACACGCCTCGTACTGCTAGGACATATAGTTACCATCCAACAAAAGTTACCTTACTCTGAATACTATTATTAGGGCGAATATAAATTTACAATGTGAAGGGAGTACAAATTTCTCACAAAACAAATTAGACAAAATTAATGAATGGATTGCTTCAAAATTCAGAATGAAAAGGACAATTAAGTAAAAGGTTCCCTTAGTTAATAGACAAGGAAAACTAACGAACTATGAACACAACTTTCAAAGGCATCATATTTATTCCTAGTTTAATCATTTAGAATCTGGAGGAGTCGAAAGACGAAGTTGGGGAAATCTGCTGTTGGAAATTTACTACCAAAAGACGCTTTGAGAGTACATGTTGCCAAGGCAATAAAACTCAGCAGATAAGTTGAAGGTGAGACCCGACCAAGAAGGATCCTAATGTTAGTATTCGGAGGCCACTAGGAAAGGGACGTTGTGTTGAACAACACAAGCAAAATTTGTAACTCGGATATTTGTATCCAACTAGATTGGTTACATGTATGTCAAAATAAGGGAAGGAATGCTCTTACTGAGTTAAAAATCGAAAGGAAGATAGAGAGACAAACCTTAGTATCCATGGTTTTTAGGTAGTGAGATTTTGTAGGCCGAAATTTCCGAGACCTGTATGGATAGAAATGGTGCTTCCCAGAACATTGTGTGTACCGCAAAAACATTTATAGTCTTAGAAATAAAACGTACATGCTTAGCTTGAAAGGGTAAGAATTCAAACTTAATATAACTGTTGTCACAGGAACGTGGATCGTCATAGATGCAGATATTTTGCAAACTAATATAGGGTACGTCTTTATTAGAAGCGATGGGTTTATGAAGCGCACGGGCCGAGGCATAATATCAACATATGTTATAGATCAGCTATGTGTACTATGTGTATGCTAGAGGCACACGATGATGGTATATATGAGATAGCTTGTCGTATAATCAAGTTTAGACATTGATTATTACGAATAAACCGTAATCCAAGTTATCTTGTTGGTAACTATGTCTTGAGTCATAACTGCACTTGAATTAAGGCTGATTATTGTCTCATCTTTTCCACTTATTCTGTTGTAGAATACGAGGTGACTTTATGTTGGTATTCTATATATTAAACAATGATTTGTGTGTGAATATTTCTTTTTTTGCTACCTTCAGAACTAATCATCTTTGAAGCCACTGTAATTGGTTCAGAAAACATGACAGAATAAACTCAGAGTGGACTCTGTTTTTGTCACAGCCCAAAACACTCTACCACAATAAATGGTATCCGTGACATCATTAAACATTTTTAAGGAGCAACTAGATCATCACCGAAGAACAAATTGCAAGGATTACCACTGATCGACTTACCTTATATCTTTATTACTGACAAGTGGCAACTAGGAAAGAAGTCACATCTGGGCTAAGCGTTTGGCTAACGTATGGTTGACCTACTATATCAATTCATGTTTTTATTTATTTTCGGTATTTATTTAATGGGATGGAGAGAAAACTTGAAATATCTCAGAAGAATGTAAATATTTCACTAGTAATTCAAAAGATAACTATACTAATAGAAGTATATAAATAGAGAACAAATGAAATGTTATATGTAATCTGTCTGACTACACTATGGCCTATAGATGTAAAATAAATGATATGGATTTTTCTAATTGCTAGTAGTGGAATTACTCAAATCGTGAAGACAACTATCCACTAATAATAGTCATATTAATAACAATAATAATAGCCATCTATTTTGTTTTTAATAAGAGACAGAAACTGATACTTACTTGTAGACTGTAACAGTAATAATGTTAGAATGTTAGAATTGTATTTGAATTGTCAGGCAGGAAGTCAATACAGCCAATCATATGTGAACAAGAAATGTCTACACATGTACAAGCATATGAGTAGTTTAAATACTGTGAAAAAATAACCAATAAAAGCGCTTCGTTGATTTATCTGAATAAAGTTGTAAATATTTAGCAAACAGAAAGTTTTCTTTATAAATACTCACCATAGTTGAAAGCGTGAGTCAATTGAAGCTAGACCACCATGGGAAACCTGGAAACACTGGACGGCCGTTTCGTCCTATTATGGGACTCCTCAGCCGTGCACATCCACGATCCCGCTCTCGTGAGATTCGAACTCAGGACCTACCAGTCTCGAGCCGAAGCCCTTAACCGACAGACCACTGAGCTGGCATCCAACGATGTTAATGTCTAACTTCAACTGATCCACGAAGTTGAGCAACCATTCTAGTGAGAAGCAGTGACCAGTGGAGGTCAAAACCACGTCTGTTATGAGATAGGAACTCGTTGAAGACAATTGGTGAATGGTTGCTCAACTTCGTGGATCAGTTGAAGTTAGACATTAACACCGTTGGATGCCAGCTCAGTGGTCTATCGGTTAAGGGCTTCGGCTCGAGACTGGAAGGTCCTGGGTTTGAATCTCACGAGAGCGAGTTCGTGGATGCGCACTGCTGAGGAGTCCCATAATAGGACGAAACGGCCGT